TTCCGTGCCTTCGTTTGCTGGCTCTTTTCACCGAATTGACACCTCGCAGCATTGATTGGCCGGGATGATCACAGGGCCGCGTTCCGCTTTGAAATGCAAATCGCAGTTCGCCTCTTTTGTTTATCCCCCAGGAGGACTAGACGAGGGTCAGAATGTGTCACCCCGTGTTTTGTGGGTTATGTGCAATCAGGAATGCGAAAAGACTAGATCTCAATTGAGGTAATACAAATTTGCATAGGGTTGGTAAAAAAAATTATGTGGTTAAGTTTGTTTAACCAGCAGTTTAAAGAAGAAATATTCATGTTATGATTTTTAGATTAATATAAAAGAAATCAGTTTTAATTTACTTTTTCTCATGCTCGATATGATAACAAATAGATTTTTAAATTATTTAACGTGATTTAAAGTCTTTAAAATAAAAATTTATTAAAGAAAATCAAATCAATGAATTAAAAAATAAATCTCATTAAATATTGAAAATACTCAAAACTAAACAAGTTTTGTTTTAATAAATTTAACTGCGAAATTTTTTGAAACTTATTACCTAACTTCAGATTTTATTAAATTAATCGTGTAATTTCACTTATTATTGACGATTCTTTTTTAAATAATAAACTTCAAGCAAGAGTATTAAACTATTCTGCATTGGCCACATTGTGGCAACTAATTTACTGAAAATGTATTCAGAGAAAGCGGTATAAATGCAAATGATTAAAAAGAACCAACACCACCCTTAATTATGAACTGATTAAAATAGCAAAAACAATAGAGTTTTAATTAAAAGATAAATAAATTTATAGTAAGAAAATATTTCACTTTAAAATCATATATTATAATATAGTTGAAAAGCGGATCTAAATTTATTGTCAAAATTCCTTTTGAAATCTAAAAAAAAAAATAGTATAAAAAATTAAATTTTGTTGACTTGTAAGCTACGTCCATAAATTTTGCATTATAATATTCTTGTAATCCGTTGTAATCTAAATAAAAACAACATTTATAATTTCCATTTTCCATAAAACAATTTCAGATTTCTGTGAAAAAAAAAACTAGAATTTTAAAATCATCTAATTAAAATTCATCCCAACCAAATCCAGAACATGTGGAGTGGAACAAAAAGTTGGATAACATTGTAATCAGAAACCAACAACGGCTTTCCCTTCGGAGTTTGAAAAGCATAAAAATGCGCGTTGTGTGTTCGGGCAAAATAAAAAAACACAGTTAGTTGCTGACGTATTTTGCCGAGCAGCCCAAGGAGAAATGTACATGTGAAATTTTAATGAAAACGCCGTCAAAAAGAATTGGAGGCAGTGTGCGTCGCCGGCGGGCGTCGCGGCGAACTGCCAGTGCGTGTTTGTGTTTTATTATTATATTTCTACTGAAACTCGTTTTGTGCGTTGACATGCGAGTAAGCAAGAGAGCTGAAATCGGCTAATTGAAATCAGTGCCGCGCAAAACTTTCCTCTTGTCTGCAAATGTCCTCGTCTGCTCACTATTGTGTCGGAAAGGTCGCAAAATTGGATGTTCGTCTGTTCTTTTGTTCAAAAACCAAAAGCACGCTGCGTGTCTGTTTTGTTTTGTGGGGCTGTGGATGAAATTTCTAAACGCGGCGACCAAAAGTGCCGCATGAATGTGCCAAATGCAGTAAGCGTAGCGTCCTTTACGAATTGAAAATTAACTTCATTTTACATAAAACAAGCAAATTTCGACTTTCACTTGGAATTGCTTGGAATTACAAAAGGTCAAATCCTAATTCAGCAGCAAATTTATATTTATTGATATGGTTTTGATGAGATGATTTGGGACAAGTAAAATTAAAGGCATAGAGTGTTTTTTTTAATAAGATTTAAAAAAAAAATCTACTGAGAGTTCTGAGTCTAAAATTTAACCCCTACTCATTATTATTAGATGACAAATGAGTTTTTAAACTTTTTCCTGGATTCAGTTATATTATTTCAGTTAAAAATTCAATTATTATGAAAAATAAATAATTAAACCAAAAACTTATAATCCCTTAAAAATTTAAAACAGAGAATAAAATTTACTAGTCCACGTTCTTTTGAAAACAGCTTAAATTGATTTCTCATACGTTAAATGTTGCAAAATTATTTAAAAATCAATAACAAGATCATATTTTTATTTGTTAAAACGAGTGACTTTGAAAATTTATCATTTCATTTGTATTATTTATTATTTTGAGCTCCATTTGAGAAGTTATATTGGAAGCTGAGGCTCTTTCTCATTAATTTTGCTAAAAGTTCCTTTTTCGCTCGGGTAGTATATAAACAGCCCTTTGTTCTGCAGATCTTAATAGCCCCGGTTGACTCACCGTCTTGAGAAAAAAGACTTCTTTTTTTGACGAGAATGATTAATGGAGAGAGTCTCTGCTGAGATTTCCTCGGCGCGCGAGTAATAAATTATTTCATTTCTTCCTGCTCTCTCGTGCACGCGCGCGCCTACATGTATTTTTTAAAATCTCCAAAGACGCGGCGGCGAATCATTTTTCATTGTCAATTAATAAAGTGCTCGTTCGGCAGCTATACGAAGGGGGTTTTGAAAAATCGCTCGACTTCTTGACGCTTTGCACAAATCTATTAAAATTAGTATCAAAAAGGCGGCAAAGCGGAATAATTGATTTTTTTTTAATTTTTGTGAATAATATAACTTCAAACTGAGTGAGATAACTATTTATAAAAGCTCAATCATATCGCCTTTGGAATGCATTACGGTCAAATTTCTGTCCAAATAAAATTAATATTATTTTTCTCTCTCTATGTGTTTAGAATTTCCTTTTTAAATAATTGTATTTGGTATTTTGAATGAGTTCTTTTACGAGGAAAATGTTTCCCTAAATCAAACCCAATAAACACAAATTGAAACAAAAATTATTAATGTCAAGTGTTATTAAACAAGAATTCCAATAACAAAAATATTGATCCTTTTTTAGAAAATCCAATTTGATTTTTTTGTATGGATATAAAACCCGGAAGTGCTTTGGGCGGTGTGCACATAAAAAGCAAAACTAATTTCACAACGAACCATGTCATCGTTTAATTCGCCCAAATTGTTCTCCAGCAAACTTTGTTTCTTTGGTCGCTTGTGGCGCAGTATAAAAAATTAGAGCGGCTCCCTCTCGAAACTTCTTGCGTCAACGCAAAGTTTTAGCAACAGTTGCTCGTCCATCAAGCGACACGCAGAAAATTGAAAAAGCCGCCGACAATTTTGTAAAAAACTTTGCCTCCGATTTTAAACCGAGACGCAATTTATCCAAAATGAAATTCTGCCGCGCTATACTTCGGCCTCTTCCCTTATCGCTGTGATATGAAAAAGGGAGAGTGTGTATAATATTTCGCATCTCTATCTCTTTCTCTCTCGACAACAGCCCTGCTGAGAGAAGCCAACTTTTTTCATACGCGTAATGCGAAAACTCCGTCATCATCATCAGCCGGCTTCTCTCTCGTACGTGATATTAAAAATGGAGCAGCCGAGCGCAAAATTACACACGTGTGCTTCGTCGTTCCTTTTTCCAGAAGCCAATTTGTTTCATATTTGTGCGGCACATCAATCAAAGTCACCTCCATTGAACTGAAGGTATTTTACACAAAAGGTAATGCGATCGCCAAGCACTTCGCGGTTTCCGGTGACGGTACTAATGGTCCAGCGAAACCACGTTTTCCGCCTCCGACAGTAAGGGTTTGTTTGTGAAGGAGAGGAAAATTTCCTTTTCCATCAGTTCAAAATTTGGTTTCATATTCTAATACAGTCTTTTTCCTTTATAAAAATGACGATTTGTAACTAAAATTCTTTTAAAAAGAAAGTACGTTAAATGTATAATTTCTAAATTTTTATTACATAATAGTTGCGTGTAATGTACATGAATTGGTAAATATTCAGCATGCATTTCCAAAAATAAAAAAATTCTCCAGTAACATAAGAAATATTTAAAAACAAAAGTATTTTAATGATTGAATTTTAGTCAATTAAGATTTCACAATTTTGAACTCTTGTTGATTTCATTTATAACAGATTAAAAAGTTTACCGTGCTCTTTAATTGTTATTAAAAACGTAAACTTCAGGCAAATATTATCCTTTATCTTTTTTTCATGGAACGAGCAATCAAATCATTATAGGCAATTAAAATTTAAAATCCTGTATATTTAATAATTTTCAAAACATTAATTTTAAAATATTTTTGTATTAGCAGTGGATTAATTTTTTTTTTTTAAGTAAAATAAATATCTTTTCACAAAGTATATCAATTTCCATCTACCCTCGCATGTTTCCCGGAAAGGGTGTCTCATTACGAAATGAATTGGCGCCGGCAGCTCCAAAAGGCGGCCGACAAACGCGTGTGCGAAATTTCGCTCAAAAGGGGCTCAAATTTACCAAATGTGCCCGAAGGCGGTTCGCTGCGAATTAAAATCAACAAATAATTAATTTAACGCACACACATGGAAACGAGGAGAGGAAAATAGCGACGCGGTTGGTGCGCTCGGCAATCAACTTAATGGCATGGCTCCAGGAGGATTATTATTTGGAGGAGCAACTCACTCACTCACTCACCCACTCTGTGTTATTCGTAGCGCCCCGACACACCGCGCACAAGTTCAGTGGTTGATGTGTTGCCCTGGTTACAACTTGCAACGTCCCTGCGCAGCCTCTTTTGTTAATAATTTTAATAGCCGCCTGTTCATTCTGCGGTGGACTGAATTTTTCTCCATCGGCAAAATCGCAAATCACCGCTTTGGCGCAGGATTGAAGAGGAGGAAACTTTCGTTGGAAATTAAGTTTACAGCTTTTGTTTTAAATAAGTCCACGAACAATGAAAACTGAATTGTTGTATTGATTTGGGCCAGGCCAAATGAATAACAGCTCATGAATTGAGGCTATTTACACCAGCCTGAAGCCATAATGTCCAGCAGCAGTCTTTAAAAACCGAAAATAACATTCCCTTTTTTTAATTTTAAGAATGTAAAAAGTAACTATAGATTAAACTTACCACAATTGTATGACGAACGATCAAAATCGAGAATGGAGTGCCATGCCGGTTGTGAAAATTGGTTTCCGCCGCCCAATCCATTCAGGTTTCAATTCTGGAAAATTAGCTGGAATTATACGAGGAATAACATGATTTTCATTTAAGAAAAAAATCAAGGATGTGGATAGATTGTATGAATGTATGCAAACCACCATTATGTATGTATTTTAATTTTATGCAATGTCACGTACATACCTCAATCTTGTGAGATTTTGGTCGGTTTGGGACTATTTCCGCCCGAAAGCCTTAACTTTCGAGCATCCAAAAATCTCATAGAATAGTCCAGACCCAGAAAATCGACGTCGCAATGAGCAAATTTGGAAATATTCTTAAATATCACACGAATAAGACCAAAGTCAACATAAAGCACATGTGTGTCGTCAGAGAATAATGACAGCAAAGAGGAGGGAACAAAATCAATACCAACCAAACAGTACTTTGTTCTGAAATCTAAATACATGGAAGTTTAAAATAATTCAAGTTTCCTGTAACTGAAATTATTTTCTTACTGTCACTGTAAAATTAATCGTGTTTTGATTTTAAGTTAAACAAAATTGAAATTGTTTAAGCTTTTAATTTTTGTTAAGTTGTCTACTATTATAAAGAATTATCTGCTTTTGGTTCGATTAGAATTGGCGGGATTTTACATACCGAGCTGAGCTTTTTTTAAGCAGAGCTGCGTTTTTTTGCGTCTTTGTAAGATTAATATAATAAAATGTCATCCATAGGAAGGTCAATTGACGGGAAATTAATTTAAAAGTAATTATTATGGTAATTTTACTAGTGATGCCGATGGCCATGCACCTCCATCACACCGTTCTGGGCTTCTTCAAAAGCCCTCAAAGATTTTTGTGGAATGGGACATAAAATTAAATTCCCTGCCCCCTGCCAAGCCCACATCTGGCAAAATCCGTGAGCAGTGGCAAGAACAATAAAATTATGTCAACCGAGACTCACTGAGAAGGACGAGTGGTCGTTTTGATGTTGGAATTAAGTTTTAGCAAAATCTTTGAAAGTGTTATGTGCTGCATAAGTGGTTCTTTTGGCATAAGGTTTCTTTTTATGTAAATCTTCACAGTTAGAAAGTAAACAAAAACATCTGGAATTTTAATTTTTTACAATTATAATCATCCATTTTATTTTTTTCAAAAACGTACATCTGTACCAAAACTCGTGGGAAAATAAACTTTTCAATTTCAATTAAACATTTTTATTTCAACATTAAATTGAAATTAAATTATAATGAACAATTGCGCATCCATAACAGGTCTTATTGATCCCTGGTTGCGTACTCGAACAGCTTCAATTCATATCGTGGGATAGGAAAAAGCCAATGTGGCCTCACTCTTCAATTGCAGCGACAACCCACGCAGCGCGCGGCCTATTTTCTCCGTTCTCCGGCGCTCGGTAGTTCTAATCACGGATTTGGTTTTGTTTGCCTTTTGAGAGGCATTGAAAAAAATCACAAAGCGATGCGGAGCTGTAATGAAAAAGAGCCGGAGCGCACAAAAGAGTTGAAAAGAGAGAAAGGGCTCGCCGTTATTTCGTGTCTGGGGCTCTGAAAAATTGGGTTTAGCGACCCGCTGAGACGTCGCTTGATGGATAGCTTGCTCCAGGGGGTGGACCAGGGGACCGACCGGGTTAAAATCGGCGGCGGGCTCGGGTGTTTATAGCCGGATATCGCGCTCACTCAGGCTAGGGCCTTCTCAAAACTGGCCTCCAACATAAGCGGAAGATTTTCTCTTCAAGAGTTTGTACATTTAATTAAATAAAAACACAAAAAGCTTTCCAAATCCACCAAGACAATTTGATTAAAAAATTAAAAATATTTTCTTAAAAATAGTGTTTTTTGTTTATCTAAAAAAAAGAGTATTAACGTATTATCAAATTTTTCGGCTGGAAACGATTTCGATCTTATAAATATAGGCTGTAAATCTGGAAATTGTGAAAGGAAAGTTTATATTAAAAATTTGTTATTTCTTAGGTTAAACCAGAATTGTAATAAAATAAAAAATATTTGCTAATTTTTTTTAATACTTATTTGCTGGAGCATCATATTTTTAGGTGTTCCCTTCTTTTATTAGGGTTACATTTTTTTTTAAATTTGACTAAATTTTAATGAGCAATTGCAACTATAGTACTTTCCTTTTAAAGTGCAGAGGGAAGTGCCAATTTAAATTTTAAGAATTAAAAATTCTAAATTTTATAACATTTGTACTGATTTCTACCATAAGTACCAATTAAATTAAAGTTCACCGCTTAACTAAAAAAAAATAAGCTTCATGTCACGTGAAAAACGATTAAACTAAAGTTATCTTGTTAAAACGTTAAAATGTGGTGTGTAGCCGATGGCAAGAGGGTTCCGGCCGCTGGGTAAGAGATACTACACGCCTGCAAAAGTCAACCTAATATGTAGTAAATTTAGCATATATATCCAGCACGCCTGAATTTATGATAATGTGTTTGAGGAAATAGTGCTGGATGGCCCTTTCTTTATTTCGGCTCCTGCTGCGAGACCATTTGCCTAAAAAACGAGACAGCGGCGTAAGGAATGGCCGAACGCACACATCTCTTTTCTTTCGCTCCTCTTGTAAAGTGGTCACATTCGCCTTTCCATACGTCCGACTCGGAGAAGCAGCAGGGAGGAGGTCGAGGGGAGCCAGATATTGGGGAAGGCTGCCAAGATTGAATCGCCCTTTCTTCGAAGATACTGCCAAATAATGCAAGATTGAGTTGAAACGTTGTTTGCCAAGATGCAAATAATCCAAAATTGTAGATCGTGGAAAAAAAAATCTCAATAAAATAAAAAATAAAACTCAGATTAAATCAATCAAATAAACAGAAATTCATTTCTTCAGTAATTGCTGCTTTTCTCAAAAATAATTAATAAATAAATTAATCTAATTTTTAATTGAATCTGGAATTTGATGGTATTTTTAAATAATAACTCTTTGGCACTATAAGAAAATGTTCTATTTGTAGGAATGCATTTTTCTCACTTTTGTAGACTTGCAAATATCTTTAGAAATGCAAAAGAATGTTCCAATCTTATATATTGATGCGACTCCAGATCATAAAAATTGAAATTGCAAAAAAATGGCACTGCAGCCATTTACGGACTGAAAATCTGTGAAATAAATCCACGAAGTCTGATGGTCGGCAGATTGACGAGCGGTGCAATAATTTTCAGCTCACCGCTCTCGGAGCCACTTTGCCGACGTAAGAGTGCAACACGAGAGAGCTGAATGTAACGCGATCCGCCGTTGAGAGAGCTTTCCCCGTGCAGTTAACTGGGCATAAAAAACCACCCGTCAGGAATTTTATATTTTTGATGCGCTCCACTTGCATTGATACAATGCGCATCTCCAATCGCCACTCACCCGTGGCCGGTCTCTCGCTGCTTTTTATTTCGAACCAATCGAGCGCAGACCGCACTTTTCATTCGGATATCGCTGTGCTGCCAATTTTATTTTTGCCGCGGTCGGTGTAGCGAGTCCAGTGGAGCGATTCACGGACCGATGGACGGACGAAGGCAGGAAGCGGCGGCAAACGTATGCAACTCGCCAGACCGGCGCGTTCAAACGGTTGCATATGTTTCATTTTGCCAGGGGCTCACTATTTTTCCGCATATCATCGCTCAATAAAATTTCAATGGTTTGAGAAGACAAAAAATAAACAATAAATTGAAAAAATGAAGTTTATTGGGGTACAATTATTTTTAAACAATTATTAAATATTAATGTAAATTAAAACAAATTCAGATCAATAATTGAATTATTATTCATTAGGTTTGGTTTTTTTCACGTGACTCAAGAATCACGCATCACAACAATCAGAGCTAATTTGGATTGCTAATGAGTGTTCTGAATTTGTAAAATTTTTCTTGTACCAAAAATGGGAGCGCTCTAAAAACAATCGAAGTTCAAAGTATGTTTCTCATTGTTGTGATTTGTGATGCGTGAACTGTTTCAAAAATGATAAAATTTTTAGTCATATTTTTCTAAAGTGAAAATGACATCGGTCAAGTTTCTTTTTAAAGTGTTGATTTGTAATAATATTCCAAATAATACACATCAATCATATATTATACAGAATATATAATAATGTAGATTTATTATTGCTACATAACAAAAAGCAATGCTGAAAGCTGTGGAGGAAATTTGTAATTGTCATTTTCTTCAGATCGATCCCCTAATGAAACAGTTAATCACAGGAGAAACCACGAGCCGGAATCGTCTTAACGCAAGAGCGGCTGTCAAAGGGTTGCTGGGAACGGGTAGAGCGAGGTGCTCGCTCATCCAGTCATCAGAGACACCTCTGGGCGCGTGAAGAGCTGCGTTATGAATACCTTGGGGGCTGACAATGGCTTCGCTTCCAAGTGGATTTTGTCGGTGTGCTGCTTCTGAAGGCAATATTATCGCTGATGTGGATGCCTGTGATTTACTCGGCACTTACATTAGCGCTGCAGATTTGTTATTCCCGCGTGAATTCTGTGCCGAGCAAGACTCTTCTTGTGCTGCTGCAGGGCTTCATTTATCTCCGCGGGCAATTCATCTCTCTCGCAAGGTGCGAGAGCGAACAGGCCCATCCGCAGGGAATCAATTGATTTAGTTGGAGAGATGCACCTCGTGATATTGCAATGATCTCGCCCCTCCGCCGCCGCCGCAATCTCACCTGCTGATGGAATTTACAATCACTCTCGCTTGCGATCTCTCGCACTCTCCCATCAAATATTACTCTCCGCTTTTTCGAGAGAGAGGTCATGCAGATTTATTCATGGAGCCTCTCGTCCCGCGGGCCACCACTGTTTTCATTTCACGCCTGCCTGTGGCAGAAAGTTTTTGTTTTCGTGCGGTGAAAGCAAACAATCACAAAATTGGTTTCGAACTTTGTTGTAAACTTTTCTAAAAATTCAACTGTTTTGTTGTAAACGCTTGATCGTGGAATATATTCGCTTGAAATTATTGTCAATTAAGTATATATGGGTTTAAAACATCAAGTTCTTCTCTCAAAAAATTTATTTATTTTGGAATTTCAAATATGCTTTTTTCGCTTTCGTAATTGGAGTTACAATTCATAAAATGAAAAATACAATTTAGTGCTGTCACAATTTTAATTCTAAATCATTATAGAGATTGTTAAAAATACTGGAATTTATAAAAATTAATTTTTCCCAGATTAAAATATTTCTGGATCAAGATAAAAAATACTAAAACCCAGAGCATTAAACACAAAAATAATTTTAAAGTTGAAAAATTTTATATAACAACTCGCTTTAAAATTGGTTTTATTATTACAAGTTTTAATGCTGACCATAAAAAGTCATAAATTTAGATTAGTCATATATTTGAATAGCCCAGAA